GTCCATGCATGAGTTCACCATTACAAATGGTGGTGTTGGTGCAACCACTGTCCATGATGACGTGATCGAGCAAACCAAACGGATCTCTTTCGATTCTGCGGCTTTGAATAAACTGCATACCTCGATCAGCTTCAGTAGCAAGATCAGGCAAGTCTTCATTTTCACTAGCGTAGCGCCAGTCGGATTGAAGTTCAACGTTAGTCGTTCCAGTAGGATATGGAATAAGATAGACATCATTGCCATTCTCATCCTTTCCCTTGATAGCATCGTGAAAGACATTTGACGTATCATAATAGCCAGTCTTCACAACTTGCGGAGTTCGAGCTTGAGTTGCATCAAATCTTTGGCGCACTTGAGCACCACTGAAGCCTTGTTGGCTGAGTTGCATTCCACTGAACGCAATCTCACCGTTAGCATTCATAGAATAAGGGACAGTAACAGTGCCGTCACCTTGAGTTGGAATCTGCATGAGCTGCATTCCTGAAGGAACTTGCATCATTTTATTACCTGTAGTACCAGCAAGTCGCAAAGGTGTGTTAACACTTCCCGCAACACTCAATGTTCCACCTGTGATCACACTTGTCGCTGGAGAAGGTCCAGGAACTGTAGCTGTAATTGGGACAGTTGCTCCAATCTGATTAAGATTGAGCTTCTCCCCGTAATCAACATAGTGTTTCGGATGCTTCCATTGACTCTCTGGTAGCAGTCTGTCTGGGGCATTTTGGAGACATATGGTCCTCTTTGCCACATATATAACATGCTGCCTTTTTTCTTATTGTCCTTCGGTTTACCTTTACCTTTACCTTTACCTTTATTTGGCTGGTCTTTTTCTTGGTAAAGGTTCACTCCCGGATTCTTGATCACATCCATGTGAATCTTCAGCATATCTTGTGCTTTGCTGACCGTCTTTGGATAATAATCCACTTCCCTGCAGTAGTTTGTCTGAAGATCCAGCATCAGAGGAGCTGTTCTCGTTTGGTCATAGTTGCACAGGAATCCTGTTGCAAGAACTGCTTCAAAGATATCATCCTTGAACTTGTCTCTAGCAGTAGTATGGGTGCTAGCAATAGCAGCACACGCTTTCGTCTTGACTGCAAAATTTTGGAACCAGGCAACGCCATATAGATCTTGCATGACTTCAGCCTGTCTCAAGAATCGTTCCTTGAAATGCATCAAGTTTTCGGTTGCTCCCTGCTTCATAGCAAAGAACTTTTGATTGGCTTCCCAGAAATCCAAGAAGTCATACTCAGCATCTGCACTCTTCTTCATGAATTGTTCAATACGTTTCAAGAGTTCGGTTGGATCTTCAAGAGTAGTCATGAAATCGGCTTCACCTTGAAGCTTGATATCCATCGCTTTCGTCACAAACTTCAGCATGATGTTTGACTTCACAGTTCTCTTGTTTGTTTCAAAGTAGGCTGATCTTCACATGTTCTCGTCGAGCTTTGCAGAATAGAGAATCTTGTTTTGAGTCATCTCTGTTTCTCTTGCAACAGCTTCAGTTTGAGTTGGAGCGTTCAATCTTGGAGCAATCGCATTGAAGTCGATTGACTTT